CTTTAAGCCCTCTCACAAAAATTCTCTCTTTAACGTGCTATCCAAGATTGCGCAATATTAAATTTGTTTTATGCATTATTTAACACGTGAAACAAATCAATCGTTAGTTTATTCATTTCTAATCAAAACTTCAAAACATATTTTATCAAATGAAATTATTTTCAAGAATATTCATGCATGCGAAATAATTATTTAATTATATAACTTTGAAATATTGAAAAATAATCATTTTATATGTTTAATTAAAAGTTTCATAATTTGAAGTGAAATAAAAATCGTTTCGTTACAAAGATTATTATAAGAAATGTTCTACACTTATGTCGAATATTATTCTTTTTTCATTAACGAAATCAATAATTTAATCTCATTTGATTGCATAGTTAGTTATCTAACTTTCCTTATTTATACATTTGTAATATCTACAAATATGTGAAGATAAATTTATTTCCAATTTGTTATTCATATACGATTTATAAATGTTGCTGGTAATTATTTATATTTACCATCAAATAAATCAGTGTTGAATATATTGACAGTACGAATTACAGAATGTAAAAAGTATACTATTAAATATATTATTATTTGCTTTTGTTTTTTTGCAGGCGGTATCCAAATAAATACACCACAACAAAACTTAACTTTTCTCAGGCTCAATTCCCTCAAGACAACTGCTATCGTGATAACAAATGAATTCGGTTAATTGAAATTTTATGGAATTTGGTTGCATTACTTAATATTTTTTGACAAAACAATAAAAGATGCTTTACGAATGCAACAATATTGCAAACATTTTCATTGATATAGCTTATCTTTCTATGAATGGATATAATTGAAATTGCATCCTATTCTTCAAAAATTTTAAGAAGCACCATTTCTCAAATAAAGCTTTCTTTAACCGATATCATTTATTTATTTTAAATGTATTATCCTAGTGGAACCTAGCGCGATAAGTAGTCATTCATCGTGTCGAATTATACTGAGATTTCTTAGTTTTGAGTAATATAACATCGGTATTCAGAGAGAGGGGGGGAGGGATGGAGAGAGAGATAGAGAGGGGGGAAGGGGAGAGAGAGAGGAGGAGAGAAAAGATAATCCGTTTTATGTGCGGACCGCCGAAGAAAATTTCATAATAACTAGGGACAAGTTAAAGTTACTATCTATTAAACTCATACACTAGACGCGCGTGTAATAACGATGACAATTAGATGAGTACATGTCTATACTTGTCATCCCTTCTGACAATTATCAAGGAAATAATCTACAACTTCGCGTGCGCACGCGAATCGGTATAATAAACTACTGCGATTCTTGTATAAGAACATTTCAACAAACATTAACATAATATTGTGACATAAAAGCACCAAAAAAGAAGCCTTATACTTAAAAAAAAGAGAAACACGTTTAATCTCTGCACAAGATCGCCAAGTTCCAAATAGCTATGAGGAAATTATGTGCAAAAACGGATAATTAAATTTGGAGTTCTGAAAGTTATACTCTGAATCTGTGGTGTATGATACTTGCAGTGATAATACTGACAAAACCGTAAAACAATGTTCGGAGTACTGATAATTGTAGCGTTATCGAAGAATATTAATCGTTATACAGTCACTCGTAGCACAGCGAAGTGATATTATACATTGCATGTATGTTTCGTTTATCAGTTGTAATAACATCCACAATCGATAAGACAACTTTTTTATATCATCATATAAACGAGAGGGATCCCTCGAACGATTTAGAGAACCGAACGATCGCGTTTGTTGCTAAGATGTATATTTCAGAATCGCCACAACTGAAATTGCGATTTCGTGTTTTAATGGTCCGACATAATATATTACGAATCGCTAAAAATTAAAAACAAATTCGGATACGTTGACTGCGATATTATATTATCCCGATTGATTAAAAAGCAAATATGTGGTCGAACTGCCAATATTCATCGATGGTCTACAACAGGTGGCATCAGACAATTTTCTTTTTTCTTCTCCAGCTACATTGTATATATCAAAGAAGAAACAATGGTAGCTAAGACGACTACTTAAAAGAAGATAATAACCGACCTTAAAAGAAGATAATAATCAGTAATAGTAAACGAGATATATGGGTTCGCTAACTAGTAACACATGACTTCTTTTCTTTAATTGAAATAGGCAAAATTGCTAGAAATACATTAAAGCATAACAGTGACTATATTACTTATATTTCTTTCTGCCTATTTGCCTCCGAGATACACGCATACATTCACACAGTCGTGAACACACATACAAATGCGCACGCGCGCGCGCCACACTCTCTCTCTCTCTCTCCTCTCGTTCTTTCCAATTCTATACCATTCTTATTATACTGTCTTTCTCATTCGGATTCCATCCGCTTACCTCTGACGCGCATCCAGCATATACAATAACAGTTATACATATATATCGAGCAGAATGGCCGCGCCATTTCGGTCGTAAGACTAGCGGAGGCCTGTACTAATGTGAGCTGTGCTATCAAAAAATCGGGCGATAATAGAATTCCCTAAAGGTTTTAGCGAAGGAAGATTTTTTCTTTTTATCTTTTTTTATCTTTTTTCGTCTTCTTTAACGCATCAAAGCACAGTACATGTAAAGGCCTCTATCTCAAGTTCCTGCGTTACGTTCAGAAAACTTTATATATACATATATATATATATATATATATATATATATATATATATATATATATATATTTATATTTATATTTATATTTATATATATTCCCCTTCTCTCTGTGCAATATCTTCCCCGGTTCATTCCGCCGTAACTTCCGCTGCGAGGCACATATCAGAGTAATATCATGCACACGCCCAGAATAGCGAGAATATCTTGATATTTTGTTTATATACGCAAGTACATCACACATCAAAAAACATACTATACTTCCACTGCTTCATGCTCCCCCACACCTCCCTCCGTTTTTTTTTAATTTGCATACCTCCGCGAGAGTGTCTGATAATGAGCGCGGAACAACAAGGAACGCATATTTCATAATAAATTATTATATCAGATTATATTTGTAATGACAATGTATAGCTCCGCCCCGACAAACGATATCGAAACGTTAATAAACTAAGAATGAGCACAAATTGATTGGAAAATATAAAACCGTGCGAGCCAAGTGTTGCGTTATTGATCCGAATGCGAGAATACCGTTGAGCTGTCGGCTAGAGCGGAGTGATGTGACGCTAGCGGCTCCGTCGGTGGCGTGTCATCGCGTGAATTTGTTATGTGAGACGATGTGGCGGCGGGGGTCGCCGGCTGAGATTGAGTCGTTCCGGTAGATGGTGCGTATATCAACCGGTATCCAGCTGGCAGAAAGAAACCGCCGTGAGGAGTGCAGCTAAAGGTTTGAAAATTCGACAACGGCTGACCCTCGTGATACTGGATATAGGCGCCTGTCGAAGTGGCGATCGGCAACGGCGCGGGTAACGCTCCAGTCGCCGATGGCATGTTCGCACCCTCGGACAACATAGAGGCGAATTGATACTGCGTCGGATTACTGACCGCCGGGCTATGCGTCATATCAACGCCCTCGATTGTATCATTTGAACAGTTATTATTCTGCTGGGAAACTATATTTGGTATATTTTCAGAAGGCACTACTGGAATCGGGATAACGTAAGCATGCGGTATTCCAGCTGATGCCTGCTGCGGTTGGAGCTGCAGCGGCGTTTGCTTCAATTTCTGCATAGCCAACCGTAGGGTCTCATCGGTGTCCGGATAATTATTCGGTCCTTTTTGCAATGGAGTCTGCGGAGCTGTGCTGATCATTAAATAATCCTCCGCACCTGGAATCCTAGATCCTGTAAAATCAAAAGAAATATATTTACATCGGCTCTATAAATCACCAACCAAGAAGAAATGGAGTTGACTGTTATAGCAATATATTTTTATTAATAGTAGGAGAAGTGTGATAACGAATGTACTGGATTAACTTTCAATCAAATGCAACACGAGAGTCAATTTTTCACATTAAATAAATCCTGAATCTACCTTACATATGTATATCCTATGTATATCCTATTCTATCCTAAATATATAAATATATCTTACATATGTATATCCTACGTATATCCTTTTCTATCCTAAATATATAAATATATAAATATATATAATCCTAAATATATCGTACATATGTATATCCTATGTATATCCTATTCTATTAACCCTATCCAGTTATATTGTGATCATGATTTAACCACTATAGCATTTTTTGACTCTACCATGCTGCGAAAAATATTGCCTCGTTTAAGAGGTAAAACACCTTAAACATATTCTCTTATAAAATTAATATGCTACTACAAGAGCTGTGATTATGCTCTAATATTCTGAAATATATATATTGGAACGTGTATTGATAAATTGAAATGTGAAGGAAAGATAGACGCTATCGGTTAGGCCACTTATCCTTGTCCAGTGTGTAGATTGGAAGAGACAGGTTTAATAATAACCTATCCTTCCTTCATTTTCCACTTATGCTGTAGCATAATAATATGCGTTCTAATATATGTATATATATATAAATATCTTATTATAGTGTTTTGAAAAGCTCTCAAAGTAAGCTACAAAAATATGTAATAAAAACTAGAGGGTTCCATAAAAAAAAATTCAAGGTGACCTTTATGTGATTTTCAAAAGACTATCAGAGATCAAATCGTTCCCACCATCTTATGCCCCCTTGAAACCATACAACTTTTCTTGAAAACATTTTTTTCTTAAAAAGATAATCTAGTGGAAACTTTAAAATGGAACATNCTGAAGGAGATTTCATTGTAAACGCGCGCGGCAGTCAACGTGTTAATGGAAAAATATTTTATTATAGTGTTTTGAAAAGCTCTCAAAATAAGCTACAAAAATATGTAATAAAAACTAGAGGGTTCCATAAAAAAAAATTCAAGGTGACCTTTATGTGATTGTCAAAAGACTATCAGAGATCAAATCGTTCCCACCATCTTATGCCCCCTTGAAACCATACAACTTTTCTTGAAAACATTTTTTTCTTAAAAAGATAATCTAGTGGAAACTTTAAAATGGAACATCCTGTATATATATATACAGAGTGGACCATTTTAATACATCCAGTCGAATATTTCGAAAACCAAGCCCGGGAGAGAAAAATTTTTCAGACAAAAGTTGTTTGGTTTCGAGGGGACCATAAGGCGGTATCATTGGTTTGACCT